GAATGTCATGTTCCTCCACAAACTTGTTTAGTCGGCTGAGGATCAATTTTTCGAACAGCTTGCTCAGCGCTGAGAGCAGGCTAATCGGTCTGTAGCTTGACGGTAGTGAAGGGTCTTTCCCAGGTTTGCGGATCGGGATGATTTTTGCCACCTTCCAGATGCTTGGAAAGTAGTGCAGCTCCAAGCATCTGTTGAAGGTGGCAGCTAGCAGCGAGTGCACCCTCGGGCTGAGATTTTTCAACGCTAGGTTGAATATTCCGTCAAACCCGGGAGCCTTCATGTTCTTACTGTATTTCAGCGCTGAGCAAATTTGTTCCTCTGTAATCCGTTCTTCTGGAGGGACGGCACAAGGGGAGGCATCTAACGTCAGGACGCACTGCGCAACCTGGTTCTCGAGTGGACTTGGGATTTTAGAGCCAAGCAAATGCGACTGGGCAATGTGCTCCCCAATCGCATTGGCCTTCTCTTCGTTGGTGATAAGCCGTTCGTCATTGACTCTAAGTGGTGGAATGGGCTTGGGGTGAGACTTCAGCACCTTGGCAACCTTCCAGAATGGTCTGGAACGGTCGTCCAGGTTCTGAACGAGCCGCCCGAAACTCTCGTTCCGGATTGAGACCATTCTGGAAGCGATCTGCCGATTCAGATCGACCATTTCGTATTTACGCTGCAGATCCCCAGTCCGCTGAAACTGGCGTCTACGAACATTTCTGAGCCGAATCAAGAGTTTGGTGTGGGAATCAATTGCTTGAAACTTACCCCTCACAGGAACTCGTCGAACGCACTCTTCGTCAGCCACGGATATGGCTTGATGGAGACCCTCCAGGGCCCGGTCGATGTCCTCCACTGTGTCGAGCGGTGGGTTGTCGTCGATGTGGCGGTCGACCACGCGTCGAAACTGGACCCAGTTGACTCGATGGTAGTCCTTCCGCTGGCACGGTGCAGGGGCCACGTTGTAGCCCAGCTCGGTCAGCACCGGTTGGTGGTCCGAACTCAGGTCGTTGACGGCAACCGGCTTGGCTAATCTGGTGTTTGCCAAGAACAGGTCCAGCGTCGATGGGTTGCCCGTCGGTGATGTGAAGGTTGGTTCGTCCGGAAACCAGACGGAATAGAGACCATGCTGGGAATGGTCGAATAGCAGGCGGCCGTTCTGGTTCTGCTGGTAGTTCCGCCAGGCCTCGTGCCGGGCGTTCAGGTCCCCTCCGATTACGAAGCGGGCATTGGTGCGGGTTATGATGGCAAGGTCGTTCTTGAACTGCTGTGCTGTACCATTGCTAACGGTACATTGCCGGGGACAGTAGGCGGCGATGAACCGGATGTTTCCGGTCGATGTTTCCACCTCTACGCCGACGGCCTCGATGATGGAAGTGCGGTAGTGGGGTAGGGTGCAGTACTTGATGCCTTTCTTGATGATGACCGCGACACCGCCCCCCCTGGAGCTGGTGCGATCAAGCCGGACAATGCTGTGGTCGGGCAGCCAGAAGCTGTCACCGGTCTTGAGGTGGGTCTCGGTGAGAAGGCCCACGTCGATGTCGTGCTTGCGGAGGAAGTCTGCAAGCTCAATGTTTTTCGCCCCTACGGAGCGAGCGTTCCAGTTGGCGATCTTTATGGGTTCACGGTCCATAATTAGCGACGAAGGAGATGATAGCTTGGAGCTGTTGTGTTCTTGTTGCGCAGGTGCGCTTGATGATGATGGCCTGGGCCAACAGTGTGACGATCTCATCCGTTGACAGCGGAGAATCGTCTGTAGCTTCACCGGTTGTACCGGCCAATCCCGGAGCAGGGGGATCCGTCGATGGGCCGGAGGCTTGACTAGGTACTGCAGCGGCAGCCGACTGGGCAGCAGCCAACTGTTGGTTGAGCGGGAGCGGCGCCAACACTGGAATTGGCCGTGGTTGGACCGGTGATAACGGAGGAAAGTTCTGCGCGTTGTTTTCCGGGACCTTCTTGCGACCGGGCTTACAAAACATGTCTGGTACCTCTATATACATATGCATTTGCTTTAACATTTGAAGTCCCTCCTTTTTTACATATTCTGCGCAAAAGATACTTTATGCCCCGGCCCATATATAAAATTCGGCGGAAAATTCTGTGAGGGGTGTGCTATTTTGTGTGCAGAAATGCAAAAAGGGAGGGACTTCGAATAATAATCTAAATGCGTATATATGTTTAACACTGCAGTGTCCTCTGTGAACAATTACAGGAAAACAGATTGTGTGTAGTTTCCGATAAATGTCACCGCAAACAACAGCAGTGACATCTGATGGAACATGAATGCAGAAACTTGACGAAATGATTAATGATGATAATTTCACTATTGAAATAACAATTTCAATGCCAAAATGGCGGTTGTTTTTAAAACTGAAGGAGCTGCAGGTAAAACAGAGGAAACAAAGGTTTAATTTTTTAATCGACCTTCTCCGATTTGTATAAAGTTTTATGCAAGTGTTTGTCATGGATACTGATTCACATTTTTGCTAAAACAAGGCCATTGTGGATCTTTTATTTGTTTGAAAATTGGATCCTTGAAATTTTCCATAAAATGGTAACACAGAAACGGCATTTTTGATCGAATTGACAAAGTTGACAAAGTTGTAGGAAATCTTAATGTTTTTTTTAAATAAAAAAAAAACATTTTTTAATTTAAAAAAATATTCTCAAATAGGGGAATTTACGTATTCTCGGCAACCTAAGCAGTGACCATCTTTCTATAGCCATTTTCTCTAAGGAACGCACACATATGCAGTATTGGTTTGTTTACAATCTTTTGCTGCCAGAGTGCCAGCTGCTCTAACAATTTCAGTCGAAAGAATGGTTCAAAACTGTTTTTAAACGCTTTTACAAAGCTCCAATCTTCTATAGTGAGAGCGACTATTGTGGGCAACATCTTTTTATTCGGCAACCTTTCTATTTGAGCTGCGTGTTAAACAGCTATGCTTTCATAGGCAACTCGAAATCAGCAGCATTTTGTAGTGCGTGTGTTTCATTTCAAGAAAACCCTGCTAGATTGCTTTTTCTCAGTGATAAAAATGTAATCAAATTGAAGCTGAAAGCCTAAAGAATCGTTTGAATGCATTCAGCAAGTGTTTTCGTAAGAAAATCCAGTGAAATAAGTGTTTCAATTTGAGTTGTCTGTCATGCCGAAGTCATCATTTTTCCTATCTCAAAAAAATCTTGCCATATTTTTGAAATGTTTATGAAAAATGAGAACACCCAGAGTGTTCAAAACCATGGACACTTGGAAACTAAAAAAAAATCGTAGTATATGAACTTCTGGTATTTTTTTTTTAAACTGTTTGTTAGTTGGCTTTCTTGCGTATTTTTTCACAGACAATGATTTAAAATGTCTCAAACATTAAACTGTGTTCCGAAACGGCAACTAAGCAGGAAAAAAATATCTACTCCGTTTCTATTCATTTTTGAAGGTTAGTGTCTTCGAAGAAGTTGCTTACACACTATGTTAAAACTACCCAAATTTGGGTAGAATCCACGCAGATTGGTCAAAATGGAAGCTCCCCAAAAATGGGTAAACTATGTTGCGAGTGACAAAAACTGGACAACAATTTTCAGATATCGAAAATAGAGTTTGGAACATAATTTTGAATGGGATTGGGGCTGAATTCTAAATTTAGGATATTCAACCCAACAAACAATTCAGAGTCAGAAATAAGCATATATATTGAATAAATGCTGTATTACAGTGTACAATGCTGAATAAAACGAGTTGTCGAATTATGAATGAATTAATCATTCCCACAGGGCCTTGAAGGAGCTAGAGTTGCGATCGGGTGTGCATAGGTATTCACTTTCAAGCAAGCTTTTATTGATTATTGAGCTGCCCTTATGATGAATTCTAGGATAACTCAGATGACAAGGCAAGCGGCTGGTGATCGGAAGGTTCATGCCTTATTATTATGTATGTAGTTCATTTTCTTCTAATATCTGTGTGGTACGTGCCACGTCAGAAATAATGAAAACAATCACTTATAAAGAATAACTAACACCCATCCCTGTCTCTCTTATTTTCGGGTTAATTTTCCACAGCTGAATAATCTTTTAATAAATGTATAATAATATCTTATTTAAACGTTGCTTCACATGAGCATAAAAGCGTATACAGGGCATCGCTGTTTTAATTAAGGGGAAGCGGTGATGTCCAATAAACGCTGAATAATCAAAAATGTTATCGAATAAAGCTCTGTTACAACTCATATTAGTCGTCAAATAACAGCTTCTCGACATACCTTAAACAACACCAAAGTTCAATGTGTTGTGGTTGAATAAATTCTCCAGATTTGTGCGAACAAAGCCTGAACAGAAGTTATTATTGAAAATAATGCAAGTATTATTAAGCATGCAGTTGAATAAAATCGTCAAGAAATCGTTTCTTCAATGTAACCTTATTTCAAAGCTTTGAATAATGGTTTGAACAGTTTACAGTTTACAGTTATTAATCCTGAATTTTATATTTATTATTTAATTGAGCAACAAAATCAACATTGTAGTCCTACGTCAATAATGTGGTCATGGTTCGAAAACAATCCTTAATTTTTTAAATTATTTTTTAGGTTTTACTTGGTGAAGATTTAGATTACAAAATTTCGAAGATTCTGGGACTTTAAAAACAATTTAGGGACAAAACGACTCTTTAATACAAGCTTTCATACGAAAAACGCTTCGTTTCGACTAACCCAATGAGGCCTCGGATTTATTATCCAGTAGAATAAACAAACAGCAGTGAACATACAGAATCACGTGATTAATCTCACATTAGATTTTTCCCACCTGTCGTCATAGTTGTGCTGCTTTCAACCATTATAGATCAAGACAACGCAAAGCTTCAATTGACTAAACGATATGAATGCAGTGGGAAATCCCCTCACCGAACTACCGGTAAACCGGTTCCACTCGGTTGCTGTCTGTGCACTAACAACAACATTCCGTGCCAATTGCTTCCCGCACTCATTAGTTGCAGCCTAGTCTCTGTCGGCTTTACAGTCGTTTCGCGTCGCTGCTTTTCTTCAGAAATGATTTTCTTCATCTTCACTACATTTGGTGTGTTCCTCCGTATTCACCTCGCCGGAGGATCCATCCAGTGTGGAAGCCGCGAACACTCTATGGTCGGCCTGGTGCACCATGGATGGAAGATTAACGAAGGCCAGTGGCCGTGGCACGTGGCCCTCTTCCACGACGGAACCAGTACGTACGCTTGTGGGGCAACCTTGCTAAGCCAGTGGCATGTGCTAACGGCGGCCCATTGCGTTACCTATCGGAGACAGCCGCTACCCGCCGGTAGCATCGTGCTTCATTTCGGGCAGAAAAATCTTTCCGAGATAACCAGCAACGTCCAGATTAGGCATGTCGGCAAAGTGCACGTTCATCCCAACTATAGCAGGCACAAAAATGACATCGCACTGCTGGTGCTGCGATCGTCGATTGAATATTCGGAATTTGTTCTACCGATCTGCCTGGACAAGCGGGCCGACAGTGATTTGAGGAACCTGGAGAGCACGAGAGGATGGATTCCGGGCTGGGGACGAACCGAGAACGGGCTCACATCGGATGTGCTGCGGACGGTGTCGATGCCCGTGGTTAGCTACATCGAGTGCCTACAGGCCGATCGCATTCTGTTTGGACATGTGCTCGATCCCAATGTGTTCTGTGCCGGTGATCGGAACGGTTAGGGTTTGTTTTTTGGCATTTTCTATGTACCCATTTTTGACGTAATGCAATCGGATTGTAGGATCGAGTCCCGGATTTGGCGACAGCGGTGGAGGGATGTACTTCAGCGATGACGATCGCTGGGTCTTGAGAGGGATCGTATCTTTTGCAAAGGTTGATGAGGCGCGGGACAAGGTTGATACTTCGAAATATACTGTGTTTGTCAATGTGCAACGCTACCTGTCGTGGATTAGTGATAAGATGGAAGAGGATATCACCTATCTTTCCCCGAGACGCACTAGTGAAAAAGGTAATTGGAAGAGGGTTCATGACGCGATTTATTACACAGTTTTACTTCCATTGCAGAGTGCGATAGATTTGAAAAGTTAGCGAGAAATCAAGTCGCCGCTGATGGTGACTGTAGTGATGATATTCAACCACAGGTGGTAAGTTCATTTGTGTGGTTAATACAAATAAAAACACTAATGGATCGTCAATTCATCAGATTTCCATCTTCTATTCGGACGGGAAAGTACATTGCAATGGCGTTTTGTTGAATGAAGATTCTGTACTTACAACATGCCGGTGTGTGCGAAGGTAAGAATTGATGGTATGTCTTGAATGAATGAATATGTATTCAACTGCGCCTCTTTAAAAACCCCCTTTAATTGTAATATAGGAATGTATAACTGAATGTACACTAGGGTAGGTCAACTTTACAACCCTCTATTTCAATACGTTTTGTGGTCCCCAACAACTTTGCTAAATTTGAACGAATTTGGTTAGCGGCGATCCATTTATTATGTCACGCTAAATTGAGGAATAATTAACTCCTCTCCCCCCTTTCGTGACGTTTTTCCTATACCTAATGCATTACTTGTCACAAAATCATAACCTCCCCCGCTTAGAGCGTGACATAATATGTTTATCGTTCCTAATATCGATTTCCTGGAGAATTTTAAAAATTAAAATCATTCATTTTAGTGTTCCACACGTACCTAAGAGGTTACGTTTGTAGGTATTCGCGAAGCAATTGGTAATAAAAGTTGTTCTGCATAGTATTTCCAATCTATTTCAGCGATTTGGTGAAATTTGAGCAATATTTGAATTTTTGATAAGCAAATGAAAAGGTTCGTTCCGTTTCCCATACATTTTCCCATCCAAAATTTAAAACCCTCCCGCATATCCAGATCATAGCCTAATTCGTTCTTATTTATCACCGTTGTTGGGGACCTCAATATACATCGGATGAGCAGTGGCAAACTTGACCCACTATAATGTTCACGCAATTCAGTTCCCTCTAATTTACACTGGAGTGTGGGTAAAACTTGTCTGCAATCAGCATGCCATAAAACTTTAAACGGCAGTTGAACCCAGACCCTGATAGGCCAATAGACGCCATTAATTTAAGCGAAAATAAGAATCTCCGACAGGCAGTGTAACTTGAATCTTGATTGTTATGTCAAATCTTAGATGTAAGGCAAAATCCTTAGAGATCGTGTAATTTACCAGATATTGATAGAACATCCCTGAAAATCCTCAAGCATTCTTGAAGTTCGCGGAATTTTTCATGAATTTCTCTGGACTTCCCCGCAGTTATCGGAACTTGCTCGTGGTTCTCTGGACTTTTTCGAGATTCTCTAGACTTTTCTGAAAATCACTGTAATTTTCTAAAGTCCTCAGAGCTTATAACAGTTACCACAATTTTCCTGAAGTACAGCCACAGTCAAATCTTAGATGTAAGGCAAAATCCTTAGAGATCGTGTAATTTACCAGATATTGATAGAACATCACTGAAAATCCTCGAACTTTCTTGAAGTTCGTGGAATTTTTCATGGATTTCTCTGGACTTCCCCGACGTTATCGATACTTGCTCGTGGTTCTCTGGACTTTTTCGAGATTCTCTTGACTTTCCTGAAGATCACTGTACTTTTCTGAAGTCCTCAGAACTTATAACAGTTCCCACCATTTTCCTGAAGTACATGGAACTGTCTACAAATCTACCGGGATGCTCACGGATCTTAACTATTTTTTTTAGCTTTTCCTGAATTTTTCTGGACTTCCCGAAATTTTCTGGAATTCTAGGTAATACCTGAAGTTTTAAAATGTTCCCTGAAGTTCTCGAAGCCTCTTGAAAATTTATGTAATTTCCCTGAAGCTAATAGAACTTTCCTAAGATTCTCTGATCTTTTCTGAAGCTCTTGGAACTTCCCTAGAGTTCTTGAAATACTTCTGAAGCTCTTATAGGGTGTCATAGAACGTATAAATACACTTTCAATTCGCCGCCATTTCTATCCCGATGAAGTTTATCAGCTGTTCATCGATGTTTGTCGTTGATTACTGATTACTCATCAAGTCTGTGTGCGCATCGTGCATTTTTTTTTTACAAAATTATTAAAATTCTAGGCATTTCCCCGGAAATGCGCAATTTACCATTGGTGCACTATTCCCAACCTATCAGTAAGGAAGTAAGTATAGGAGCAGTCTGAAAAGCCATCCAGAAGTTCGGTGATGAAGCTACCTTGGAGGACACATCGAAATATGGCCGTAAACTGGGACCGGTGGATCAGAAGATAACCAAGCCTGCGTCAATAAGAAAAGTCCCTCTGTGCGAGGTTTGGCCCAAAAAATTGGGAACATCGAAGAGTAACGTCCAAAGTTCCAATACAAGGAATGGGCTGAAAACGTTCAAGAAGCAGAAGAAGCTAAAATGAAGTCATAAACAAGCCGCATCCGTCAAATCTAGGGCTCGGAACAGGCGGATCCTATCCCTGTCAACCACATATAGATGACATGATTTTGACATTTTTGGCTAATCTGACATTTTTGGGCATACTGACAGCGGTAAAACTGACGGAAGTACGACAGAACAAAACAGCTTACTCTTTCACACTTGCATTGCAGTGCTAGATTCTTGCTAGAGTAGTCTGTTGCAGTCATCCTCACACACTATATTCATCACATTGATGTGAGCTCCGCCGAAATGCGTGATTGTTGCCTCCGTGGCTCGGAAGCTATATGATAGCCTGCTGTGTGGAAAATTGGCGTGTGTTATCATGGAAGATGAAATTAGAATTATAGGACACCCTATAGTACTGCCCTGATCTTAATGGAACAGTGCTCGGAATCCCAAGGCTTAATTGATAACCTCGGAACGTCGGAGCAGATTACAACATTTTTACCCTTCTTACAAAGAAGGGTATAGATATCACTTGAAAAACCCACTTTCGATCCGAGGCCCGGAGGGCCGAGTGTCATATACCATTCGACTCAGCTCGACGAGATCGGAACATGTCTGTGTGTGTGTGTGTGTGTGTGTGTGTGTGTGTGTGTGTGTGTGTGTGTGTGTGTGTGTGTGTGTGTGTGTATGTGTGTATGTGTGTGTGTATGTAACGAAATTAATGCGCTCACGTTTCTCAGCAACCGCTCAACCGATTTGGACAAACTCGGCGCCAAATGATAGGTCTTGGGGTCCCATTGAACGCTATTGAACGGTTTTGGAATCGGTGCACCGGTTCCGGAGATATGGCCGGAATAAGATCCGGTGAATATGGGCCTTCACGCTGGATTTAACGGAAAACGTATCAAAACCATCATGCGACACATCAAATTACTACAGAATTCAAAAATAAGATCAATGCAAGTCATGTTAAGTGTTCCAGACCACATTGGACACACTTGGACATGTTCCGGGTACCCCGGGGAAGTTGCTTGAATATGAATTGAATTAAAACCCATTAAATCACATTAAAGTACGATGATAAGGTGATTGGTAGCCTCACCAAATAGACTACACCCGGATATATTCCGGGTACCCCCAGCCAGTGGCGTAGCGTCACTGGATGACACGGGGGTGGGGGGCTTGGTCACTGATAATGACAATAAAATAAATAAACTTGAATAAGTAAGAAGGGTCTGATCACACCATAGGTGGATAAATTCGGGTTTTCAACAAGTTTTTACAACTGTAAAGTTTTCTGGACTACTTGAAAATTTAGCTCCATCAACTCAAGAAACTGCCCTGACGATCACGCAACTTCTTTTAAAACGTTTCCGCATTTTCCTGATGTTCATGAAGTTTTCTTAAATATCTCGGAGTTTCCCTGAAGTTCTCGGATCTCCCCTAAACTTTACTGAATTTCTATGAAGTTCCTGAAGGTCTTGGGACCCGTGTAATCTCGAAGATTTCCTGAAAATTTATAGTTTCGCTGGAGTTCTTTTATCTTCCCAGCAATTTACGGAATTTATTTAAAGTTTTCTTAATTTTCCTGAAATAATAAATGAAATTTTTAATTTTTCAAACAAGTTCCCTATTTTGCTCTAAAATTCATGTAACCACCTATTCATTATTGGATCTAATTCTAATTCTGATGATTTATGTGTTTGTCCGAAAGATCTCTGAACTTCTTTAAAGTTCTACAGACTTATAGTAAATTTTTAAGTTTTTATAAAAGTACCGTAAAACGTAACTTTGATAGCAGAATATAATGATTAAATTTACTCGCTGCACTATTTCCCAATTGGAAACGTTGGTTCCATTTGGTAGCTTAGAGTATTACCTTTGATATCGTGTAGAATATTGATGTAAAGACTGGAACGCGCAAAAATTGGTCGACAAAAAAATCTTTCATTAAAAATTCATATCATAAAAATCTTCTTATTTTTCTCTTGGTAGTTCAACTCATACACCGTTCGAAAAATTCATGTAAATTTCTGCGAGATATAGCGCACATAAAATTAACGCTAGATTTGGCATAAATTTACGCGATATTTCGCAATATCGCATAAATTAGCAATATTGTATGCAAGCTTGTAAACGATTTCGCTGTTTATGCCAAGAATAGCTCAAAATTAAACGAAGGGAGATTTTACGCGCTAGTTAAAATTCAGAAATTTTTTCTGTGCAGAATAAAAGGAAAAAATGTTCATTAATTCTTTGGGTTTGCCAAATCTGAACTGCCGTGGCTTCCGCTTAACCCCTTCCATTAAATTTTGCACAGTCGTCTCATCGACCTTATTCGCCGCCGAAAACCAGTTAGATTTAAACTGCTGCTCGTTTTCCATGGATTTATTAGTTTTTTTTTGAGATTCCGTTTAACCAAGGCCTAATACCGTCCGATAGGGCGGAGTTCTGGGCTGTTGGGAGGGTTATGGTCTTTGGGTACCGCAACCACGTTGTTCGCATCGTACCACTCGATTGCCTTTTTCCCATATTGGCAGCTCGCCTAGTCCGGCCAAAACAGCACAGGTCTATTATGTTGCTTTAGGAATGGTAGCAGCCGCTTTTCCAAGCACTCCTGGACGTAGATCTCTTGATTGATGGTTTCCGTAGTAATGAAAATGCCGCTTTTTAGACCACACGTGCATATGGCCTGCCAGGCATATGGTATGTTTTACATATTTTCCAAATATCTTTAAAAAAAAAACACTTTCTTGTTTCTCACCAGGCACTCAAACAAATATTTATTAAATGTATTTCCGATATAGTCATCACAAATTCATGACGATGATTTCTCATTATACACTTGTTCAATGTTTCATATTTCCTGAACTTAATTGTTTAAGATTCACGTATATTTTTCTACATTCATCGAATA